AGTAGCGATCACGTGAGATGACGAAGGGAGGCCAACTTCACGGACACTACCAAGGCTGACCAACACTCCGAGGGGAGGGGAAGGTAGGGGGAAGGGAAGCCTATCAACCAGCCTGAAAGGAAGACGGCACTGCCTAGAGTAGTAGCGATCACGTGAGATGACGAAGGGAGGCCAACTTCACGGACACTACCAAGGCTGGCCGAACACTCCGAGGGGCCAGATCCCCCACGCACGGAGACAGGCAGGCACGCGACAACACCAAAATCCGCGAGGAGCTGAGAAGGAAGGAGTGCGCAAGAAACTCCGCGAAGAAGAAGCAACGAGGGAAAGACTCTAGGGGGCCTACCTAGTGACGTAGAAAAGAACGGCAAAAGAAGCCTGAAGGGGAAACAGGGGTGAGAGGGAGGGAAAGAGCCACCACCGGGGAAAGCTAGAAAAGGGACAACTGCCACCGAGAGAAGACACTAAAGAGAAGAGGCCGAACTTGTTCTACCCCCTTGTTCCACTACTCCCTGAAACAGTTACACCTTAACCCAGCGCAAGCCGGAGAGCGCCGGGAGCCAGCACCAGAGAGATAGACCATCCCGAAGACGATCGCCTTACCCTCTGGATGCAAGCTAGAATCCTTAATTATGATGTGGCCACCACACCCGCCGAGCAAGCATCAGAGGGAAAGATCGTCCCAAAGACAACCGCCGCGCCCTCTGGATACCAGCCAGAGAATGAGGGCCGCCGCCGCCATATCGTCGCAAGCGCGCCACTGCTGCAAGTTTAAGGCCAGCTTCACTCTCATCCTAGGCGAGAGGGAGCGCCAAACTGAAGGGCAAGAAACTTGCGCCGCGAGTTTGCGAATAGATACACCTTAACCCAGCGCTATCCAGAGCGCGCCAGGAGCCAGCATCAGAGAGATAGATCATCCCGAAGACGATCGCCTTACCCTCTGGATGCAAGCTAGAGTCCTTAATTATGATGCGGTCGCCCCGCCCCCAGAGCTAGCATCAGAGAGAAAGATCGTCCCAAAGACAATCGCCGCGCTCTCTGGATGCTAGCTGGGCGACCAACGCCGCGCGCCATATGCTCAGGATACCAGGTGGGGAAGTCGATGACCAAAAGTCAACGA